GTGAAAAGTTAGATGCCGCGCTTTTAGCAACAGTCGCAACGGTCATGTGCGCACAAACATTACATCGCGGTTTTTTACAGGGGTGACAACCAACAGAAGCAATGAATCTAGTCTTGGAAGAAATTACCATGTCCCGCAAGTTCCTTGATCTCCGATATACAACCCGTAGTGATTCAGTGAAGATGTTCTTAAGCTGATCACTCTGTGTCAGTAAGTTGTAATGCTTTCCGAGTATATGCGACACGTTAGGAATAGATCCAGAATGCGTTAGAACGAGGTTGGTTCGCGAAGGTGGCGCTAATCGCTTGTCATTACTGATGAGCTTTTTCCGATCGAGACATTTGGCCCGCTGGAGAGCGTCGTCGATTATTTGTGAAAGATATTGGTGTTCCGGTAATGCTTTACGGAGCTGGTCACAGTTGCGAGTGAATTCCCTGTTGTCCAAACAAATTCTTTTAAAACGGATAGCTTGGATATAGGGGATGCCTGACGAAGGCCGGGCCACGGCCGAAACGTTGAGTAAACAACCATCAAATTTTCCGTAAGTGTGCTCCTCTATTTCACAATAATGCCAAGGAAATAATGCCAAGGAATAATGCCAAGGACAATAATGCCAAGGAAAGTATAGGGGAAGATATTAGACCAAATTGTAATGTAAATGTGAAGAAAAGTGAGTGAAAGGATAACTTGCCGTGGGCAGGATCCGAACCTGCGATCCTGTCCACAGCAAGTTATCCTTTCAACCACGTTTCTTCATACAATTTGGTCTAATATCTTTCCCTATACCTTCCTTGGCATTATTGTCTATTATATCTCAATAATATTGTGTAAAAACATGGAAAAACGAACTCTTAGGTATACACTTCTTTCCTTTGATATATATAATGTGTGTGTGTATGTGTGTTTGTGTGTTATGCTCCTAAATAGTCAGGATTGCGAGTGAAATGTGAAATTCCGAGTAAAATTAGCCAAACATTGAGCGACACGTCGCCAGAAGTTGCCATTTTTCTTCACATTTTGCCAAGTAAGTCACCAATCTACATAGGTGTGGCATGAATAGTAATGAAAATTCCTAATTTTGTGTAGCCTCGAGGAGTACGGTAAAAACCATGGCGCTTAAATTGACGCTTTTTAAAGCCAGTAGTATAAACTGCTTCAATATGGGAGCCCCGAAAAAGGACATGCATGCATTAGCAGCGTCCCTGAATGCTAGCGCCTCATAATAAACGCATGTGATGGCTTCCCTTGTAGCGATTGCTTCATCCGTTATTCGCTACAACACGAGATCGGGCTTGCGTAGCCTTCCTGCATATTTCGTCAAATCCACTGCCGTGAAATTATTCATCCGACAATCGAATAACTAAATAACAAAACAACGGAAATAAATTCGGAAGTATGGCATAACCATCGCAATGCCCGCAGAACGCTTTATTAATGGTCTTGATTACGATATACGTTCACCTCACTGCGATTTTCGAAGGCTGCCCAAAAAAAACCCACTTTGTTGGTGCACACCAAAAGTCAGCTCAAAACAAATTTAAGCTGAGTATACGAAATTAGCACGGAAGAAGTAGACAACCTATTCACGACAATTGCCGTACCCTAGCGCCTTCAGAAAGAAATCATTGAAGAAGCTAAAACTCTAATAACACCTAGAAACGTAGCCCAACTCCACCGCGTTGTGGGATGTGAAGCTGTCCACTGACCTAAATTCCGCTGCAAAATTGCCTGTAAAAGCACCAGTGCGCCAGCACCTCCCTAGGTGAATTAGGAGATACACACGAGCAACAAGACAAACATACTAAATTGCGCGTTAAGTGCACCTTGTACCGGTGGGTCTGACACTACGAGAAATAGAAAGTTTTGTCGCCCGTTTCTTTTTAAGACACTAAGTATCGAACCCATAACTCAGTCGACGCCTATGCTGAAAATCTCCGAAAACTCTTCATGTCGCCATTGTTACTTTAGGTCACCACAGGCGACTCAATTTGCCATTTGGCGAAACGTAGCCACAAGTGGCAACCCTGCCAATTATTATTCACTCCATAGATACGGGGTTGTATTTTTTTTGTCTACAAAAGACTTCCAAATATCTTAGCGCACTTTCGTTTCGCAAGTGGTTCAATAATCTAGCAACCCAGGCGAACTACCATGATCCTATTTTCTGGAGAACCCTTACAATTAACAAAAATCAATTTAGGCAGCCGGAAAATTCTTGATGACATACAATTGTATGTATGAAGCGTAGAAGAGGAGAAGGATAGACCCATGTTCGACACACTGCGCTAGTCTGCTTTGTAGACAGGCTCTGGTGTGCTTAGTGAGACTGAGTTGCGTATGAGGTCATTAAGGCATTTAGTTCACCATGGCTCATTCGCACTTTGTTTGCTCGCAAGAAATTTATGAGCATCTGTAAACAGCGCTTGTTCCATGCTTCGAAGCAAGACGTGCTCTCTTAAACGCCATTTCGCTTTGAGCACTATAGGTAAACGAATTCCACATCCCTTCACTTATGCTGCCGAAAGGAAGTCTGAAGAAAATTCATCACTCAACTTTTCAGACATGACACGATTTTTTTTTTCAAAGCAAGCGCAGTCCGTGTTCCAACTTCTTCACTTATCATGCTTTAATAGTGCTTTCACGACTCATCCGAAGGTGACATTCAGATCCACATACTGTGTTCTTTCAACAAAAGTGGTGTCGTCGCAATTTCGGCGTTTATCACTTCATGAATATATTTTCAGCACACTACGAACAATTTTAGATTATCTGTTTTCGAATAAGTGACTTACTAAGAGCCCTCACCATGTTGCTCAAGTACTTACAATTCTGAACGGATGATCCCAAGGACGTGTGCTGCATCCAGCCCGTGGCGCCCGCACTGTCAAGGAGGTGAAAGCTACACGCCTGTGCACTTATAATCGCGTTCAAGAATCATTGGCACAATAACACTGCACCTTTTCTTAAAGACGATAGCCTTTCTTGAGGACCTTCTACACAAAAATTTTGGTATTTCCGTCTGTCCGTCCGTCTGTCCGTCTGTCCGTCCATCCGTCCGTCCGTCCGTTCGTCTGTCTGTCCGTCTGTCTGTCCGTCTGTCTATCCGTCTGTCTGTCTGTCCGTCTGTCTGTCCATCTGTCTGTCTGTCCGTCCGTCTGTCTGTCTGTCCGCCCTTAACGATACTCTAATCGGCACCAAAGTGACCAAACGGTGCTCCAAACAGCCGACAATATAGCTCAAGGTTCAGCGTTTATACTTGTGCGATTGTCAATTAAAAGCAATGATTGCGCTTTTTTATCAATAGGTAGCTTCTGACCCAATTTATATGGCTGGAAACCTTGTTTGCGCGAGCGTGGGACGGTGGTTCTTTACAGGCGTTATCGCAGAGCCCAGTCCTATACTTTCAATTTCAAAGAGCGTCGAGCTATGCAGGAGCAGTCGCAGCGGGAAGGTACATACAACTGGTCACGTAACCACGCAAGTGTCTTGACGCCACGCCCGAGCGAGAGGTGCACTCAAAGCCAGCACATGCAAAGCCGTATAGAAACAGAGGGACCATTTGCTGGTAGCGCAAGCAACTAGTCAGCACAAACTTGTGACAGTTGCATTATATTGCCGCTGCGTTGGTGTCAACGTCGGGGAGGGCTCTCGCATATGGTTAAATCATCCGGAAATTACTTTTAAATTAAAGTTTTGTACAATATGTGCTATACTTGCCCTCATTATCTTGTACATGTTGTGAATTTATCCACATAAATCTATCTAACTCAATATGTCGCCTTCAAAATTTTGTGTCAGTGCTCCTTTAAGACGCCGAAGTGGTTGAAATTTCCGGACCCTTTCCCTCTGGCACGCTTCTATATTGTGGCATTAGCTGGGTAGCACCTGTGAAGAAAGTACAGGCCTGGAAAGCTGACTATTCTCACAGCTCAAAAATGTTAAGCTGAGCACTAGTGCTGAAAATTTCCTTATACGCCAGCTTCGCATGAGTGGTTACATTCTTCAACCGCCCACATACTTGAAAGACTTCTTATCCTTTGGCTGTTGTGGACTATGTGAAAGTTTACTCTGTGCACTCACATGTACTTTAGGACAGCCTTTTTGCAGTCGTGGTTGTAAAATTTCACTCTCCTGCAGGTCGCGGGATGGAATCCCGGTTGCGGCGGCTGCATTTCTGATGGAGGCAAAAATGCTGTAGGCTCATGTTCTCAGATTTGGGTGCAAGTTAAAGAACCCCAGGTGGTCGAAATTTGCGGAGCCCTTCACTACGGTCTCTGATATTCATATGGTGGTTTTGGGACGCTAAACCCCACATACCAAAATTTTACTCTCACTGTGGAACTAAGAATCTTATCGTATTGGTAAAGAAACGTATCACCCGGTTTTCAGTATAACAGCATTTAATAAAGCACGAACGTATTTCCCGAAGCAAGCATCATTATAATTACGCCATTTTATGAATGCATTGTCATCTCGCATGAGACATGGCTATAATGTCCACCTAAACACCGTCCAACACGTAATGAACAAGGCTATTCATAACACGGGCAGTAGCTCGTATCCGCAGAATGGTCACATACATCAACAGATTCACTGTATGTCATCTATATCTGGTTTCTTCAAGTACCGTTTATCTATATCTCTTTAAAGCTATTTAACAAACATGCTGCTTATAAAATACTGCAGGCAGCGTTGTGTTTACAGTTTTTTAGTTTTATACTTTAAGTAACAATGAGAAAAAAGCATCAACGTTTTCATTGTTCACAGTTCAGGATGACCTTAGGCAGTAAACTATTCCCTTAATCTTTCAATGCAATAAAACAACACCGAAATATTTCTTCCTCGGAAATTGCCTTCACAGTAACTTTTTTTTCACAATTGTGTGTTTTTTGGTTTGAAACCTCATTTTCTCTTACCTTTACTTTACATTTTATCACAGCGCACAAAGCTTCTAATACTTACCTCTCACTGAAAAATGCTTCGTGACGCAAAAAGCAATATTTTTTGTTTAAAATAGTTTATTCGGCAATCGGTTATGATTTCAGCAAGTTTCATCTACTCTGCAAGTGCCACGTCACAAAATCATACAAATAATTATACTCCTAAAATTCACTGTAGGCAATTCAAAGAATACCCTAAAATATGCTCATTCAGATGTTCGAGGCAGAAGCTCCCACATTACGCAGAGTTCGTTGCCCTCAGTGAATCCGTCACGCTCAAGGTCGTCCAGAAGCACAAAAGAAGTATAATACCGGGCTCTATTGCACAATTCAGTTGGCCTCAGAAAGCTTTCCAAATGACGCCGAGTCCTGTTCGGGAATTCTCGACGCCTATCTGAAGACGACTGCATGAAAGTGATTTGGATGTCGTGGCAGTATGGCCACTGAAGAAATTCGTCCACCACACCCTTGTACAACTGTATAAGAAGGTGCACCGCAACTGAGTCCCCATGTTTCCTCAGGTACAACCCAGGAGCGATGCGATAGCCACGCAGGTATACAGGATCTTTCTGTTGAACGGCCCAAGTTTCTGATGTCACTGCTTTTTTCAGCTCATTCAATCCCTTGACACGAAACTCGTAGCATGTAATATTCAGTGTGTTTTGCCCGAGCAAAATGGTGTCTGCCATATTTGGTGACACCTGGCCACCATTATTTGTTACACGCTTCATCGATTCACCAAGAACTCCCTTCAAAAATTTCATTGTTTTTAACACTCCTTCCAGTCGGTCGTCAGCAGAGCTTAGATGTCGCTTTATTTCAATATTGCTCTGCTCCATGTTCTCAGAAGACCGCCTTGTATCGCCTTGCAATATTTTAATGTGTTCGCTTAACGCAGAAACACCTTGTGAAACTTCGATACTTAAGTCATCTATGCGTTCGGAAACTTGGTCGCCTCTGTCTACTTCAGTTGGAAAGTGTTGTCTACTTCGACTGACACGGGTGATTCTAGCTTCATTCATAGTACGCGTCTCCGTTTCTGACGTTTCTATCCTTGATTCTTCACTCAGACTATCACACTGTGTAGTGAGGTCACGTATTAACCGGTCGAGGCAAATTCGAATTTCTTCCACGCGTTCTCGCAATGTTGCCTCCAGGAGGAATAGCATCGCTTTCTGAACGTAACCCTCCGATGGTTTTTGATGTTTGGCCTGGTTGGGCACTTTGTGAGTACTGCAGTCACTTCTCCGGTGTGCGCCCACATCCTTGCATAAGACGGACGCTGAGCATTTAGGACAATGCGTAGAGCGATGGACGCAACCTCCATAAAAGTGGTCAAGCATTTCTTCAACGCTCAAGATAGCCTTGCAGCCGTTATCCTGGTTCCAGCATTTTACCTGGAGTAGAGACATTTTCCAGCAACACAATAAGTAAAAAAAGTAAAGAAGATAGTTCTCACTTGTGAATCACCAAGCCTGCTAAGGGCGATTTCGTAATTTTAAATACGCTTTATTCTTTCTTAATATTCAAAACCAGCATTTTCGAGTAGACTTTGATCTGGCCGCTCTCTTTAAAAAAATTGACATAATAATTAACTAAATACTTACTAACCGTACACTAGTCACAAAAAACATAAAGCTATCTCCTTAATAAGCGAAGCTAGTAAAATACAGGCTAAAGAAATGTTCTACTCTGTTAGTGAATAGTGCTGGCTTCATTGGTTAGACTCTCAATTTGTTAGTAAACACAGTAGCCACCTATTCACCGTATGAACTCAAGCGTACTAGAATTAGTGAAATAGAGGTTTATTCCCATAGTATTTCAGTGCGTGGGCTTTGCCACATGAAGAATATTTTATTACAAAAAGAGAGAATTAGAAAACTAACTGACACGTACTCTCCAGTTTAACAGCCGCTAAGTACTTCATGTAAATACCGTGCTAGGTGTGCAGCACAGCAACATACTCATAGAGAACTAATCCTCTATTAATATGGCCACAGTATACTCACATATGATCGTACTCATATGACCTCACATATGATGCTTTTGAAATGATCACATATCAGTATGTAAGCGTAAGAGAATGTGAACTCATACTTACTGATCTCAAGCGAGAACCCACCCGCAAACGTACACACAGATTTTCAAGACTTCGACATAGCCGATTTCTACTCGAGCTGACGCATGAAAGGTATAATTGTACACATATTCAAGGCACCTAAAGAGATAATAAGCATATTGTATTTTTGTGCTAGCGCAGTTACATACTTGGAAAACAATAAAGTTCCCACACGCCTACCACACATGCCAACCGGCAAGTGACATTTGCACAGAAACCATCAGAGTGGTATGAAGCACCTTAATTTGCAAGATACAAGTCCATGAATATTTCTGTGCACATGTACCATATCACGCTGGGCTAATGGTTCGGATGAAATCCACTCACGGGGAACTTATGTGCTTGGAGTTGCATGAAACATGCATTTCTTTTCAGGGATGTACTTACAGCCGCGGCCATGCCTGTGTATAGACCCATTCCATGTTTGTAAACACAGGCAAGCCGACGTCGACATTATGGTTAAAATAATAGCGACTTCCGCACGTAACTTCTGCCATAAGCGCTGAGGGCTGCGATGTGCGCCAACAAACAACTCTAAGTTGTGAGACGCGACACACATCCAGCCACGACGCAGCTCGTCGGCATACCGTTTTTTTTCTCATTGCTTCACTGAGAACACCACATGCACCATTGAAAACACAGCAGAAACTGCGGTAGGCAGAGCGCATTTTGCGTACCAAGACAGCGCCACCGCATTTTCGTGACGTAAGTCCTGTAGAATTTGTCAATAGCACGCGAGCACCTGGTCCTGCTGTGCAGCACGACACCTTCCGGCCATAACGGGTTGTGACGTCACGTGCACAGGAAGGAGAATGCACGGCCTTACAGACATGCAGGCATGCTCTGCACGCGCGACAACGGTGGAAGGTGTGCTTCTTTAACCGAAGATCCAAGATCCCTCAGGACGCTTTCTTCACATCTATTTCATGAGACGAAGCTTGTCTCGACTGATAAAACGCGCCTGACCAAAAAATGGATGTTTTGTGGTGGACTTTAGGCATGCGATTATATGAAGATATGATACTGCCAACAGCTGCGTAAAAAAAAAAGTTCTAGACGGCCATAAAGAAATACTTTTTCGCAGACAAGTTGGTTCATACTTTCCTGTCTCCCTTGTTTTCTTTCAAGTTTGTGCACCAATCCTATTTTTCAAGGCCATAAAGATTGCGTCGTTTACGCAGGTGACCACGGCTGTACATTCAAATTGGAAGAAACCGAACAAATGAAACATCTTGACGTGTTTGAAAAAAAAATATAGAGCTGACTGAGAACATTAAAACAGCATTTTTGTGGAGAGAGTTCCTGCTCAACGCTATACCCGAGTCCACCTTGGCCACCTATGGAACTTTTTCTATGTGTTTTAAATATGTCAAACAGGCAACAGTTAATAAGCAGAACCAAAATCTTGTTGCAATGAACGGTGGCCAGATGCTGCTTTAAATTAGCGTAACATGCGTTTCAGCGAGAGTTAAATTATTTTACGACGACGCGTGTGAACTATTTGACAAAGAGTAGGACGACACCCCTCTTCCAGGTATACACAGCTTGCTGATTGATTTTGTGGGGTTTAACGTCCCAAATCCACTATTTGATTATGAGAGACACCGTAGTGGAGGGCTCCGGAAATTTTGACCACCTGGGGTTCCTTCACAGCTTGCTGCCAACGCCCAAGCCCAGTATACCAAAAAGCGCTGGTCCCCAGAGTTTAGTCAAGAGTTCAGTGACGTGATAAACACCTACCACTGGTATTTAGATTTTTCTTTGTACGCTCTGCTCATCTGTTCACGGGAAACTTGAACGAGAAACATGCGCTGTGCGTACAACATTCGAATGAAGGTATTGTTACAGAGCGCACACTGATAACAAAACTTACTGCTCATATGGCGCTAAGAAATAAACAATCAGATAATAATGTGGGCGGATGGGGGTAGGATGTAAGGAAGGGAGTAAAAATCTCTGAAGAAGTGCTTACGCACCTGTTGGAAAGCATATTTGTTACCTGTAGGCTATAACATGGTGCAATCACACAATGTTTACCTGCCACGTTTGCCCCCTCCCCTGGTTCTGGTGGTTCAGTGCTGATGGTTCTTAGGTTTATTAGTGGGAAGACGACTATAGGAAAACAATGATACGGTCTCAGCCTATAGAAATTATGAGCGATTCTAACCTTTCGGGATGAAGCTTCTTAGAGTGTGGATCTGTCCATACTTCGTTAGTGTAGGTAGCCACCGGTGGCACATACCCGCCCTAGAGTGGGTATGTGCCACAGAAAATGTGAGAAGGTTCATAACGGTACTTCGAGTGTTCACTAGATGGACGCATGGACGGACGGATGGATGGACGGACAGAAAGACTAGCAGACAGACGGACGGATGGACGCGCCGAGCGGGTATGTGCCAAATGAGATGCCAGATGAGTGATGGTGGCACTTGGAGTGTTCACTAGATGGACTCACGGACGGATGGACAGACAGATGGACGGACTCATGAACGGATGCACGGACAGACGCATGAATGGACTTATGGATGGTTGCGTGGACGAATGAAGCAAGAACGAACCGACGAATGGATAGATGGACGGGCTGACAGACGCTTCGTCCCACTCATCATTCACTCCGTGGATATACTGCGATTTTTTTTGTCTCAGCCAAAGCCCACTGCACTGAATTGTAATGCAATACTGTTGTTGTGAACTGATTTTTACCCCATGACGTATGATAAAAACGTACTCTACAGCAAAAGTACGGTAGAGGTAAGGCCGACGCTGTTGTGGAAGACGCGCCGAGCACATGTGGGGATGGGAACGCACGCGCGACCAGCTGCGACACCGTCGGAACCATGATGTAAAAAATCTTATTTTACGGTCAGAATTTTTTAAAATTTATTTTACCCTCAATCGCACATAGCTTTAGCTCAATCGCACATAGCTTTTGCTTTAGCTCATAGCTCAATTGCATATACCTTCAAACAGCTCGGTCATTGTGTGCGCAAATTATTCAGTCTGTAATGTGCCTCCGCGTTCCTACGCATTAATTTTGAAGAGGGCTTGTGTGCCATTTTTTTGTTAATTCGTTGACGTGGGCAGGTGTCGCTGTACTGTGCCTACATGTGACTGTGTCATGCATCACACATTCTACGAAAGTTGAATTAGGATCAGAAGGGGAGCGTGGTCTTAGCGAAAGACTCGATTGGGCCTCAAAGCATCCACATGCGTCACTGTAAAGAGAGCACTAGTGCAAGCACGGCCGTAAATTTCCGCAGAGTGTCTCCAACACCTCCGCGAAAACAAAATAATAACATAGGACTGTTGTTATGGAGTCTTATGGTCTTCCCCTATCGCGTCAAAGTGCTCCTTCAGAGAATGTCGTCCCACTACACTGATGTCCAAATTTCGAACAGTCAACTACTGTCGCGGGTCACTACAGGCGCCTTGTTTAACCATTAAAAACGTGCGTATGGACCATATACCTTGGAGTGCTGGAATAGTTGCAAATAACTGAAAACATAACTGACAATCACTCAGGTTTGTTTCTAATGTGCCCTGAGAAGTAGTAATAGAAAATGAACGCCAACTTTCATTTGGCGCGAGCTTTTTTGGCGATACAAATTTCTGGTACCAAAAATGATGTTGGGTTGTTAGGGACAAACAGTACACGATTCACTGTACTGCGTACATTATACTATAGGAAAGCTGTGCACAGCTGTCCTGTTCGGCAAAGCTAAACGAAAAATACATCCCGTGAAACTCGCATCACCAAAGTATCGCTTTGTATGAATGTCACTTGCGCAGGTCGCGGGTTCGAATCTTGGCTGCGGCGGTTGCATTTCCGATGGAGGCGGAAATGTTGTAGGCCCGTGCGCTTAGATTTGTATGCACGTTAAAGAACCCCAGGTGGTAGAAATTTCCGGAGCCCTCCACTACAGCGTCTTCATAATCATATGGTGGTTTTGGGACGTTAAACCGCACACATCAATGAATGTGACTTGGGTTCTCTCAAGTCTTTGATCTACTATGCACAAACGACCAAGTGCCCATGGGAGCACTTGGCCAAGAGCCTCTTTGCCTCTTTGCCACATTTACACTACGTCAACTGTGATCAGCCTGAGCGCCCGCCCCAGACGCACGACTCCTTTATTTAATGGCCTGTCTGTTTTCGGCTGGATGCAACTATTTTTCAGTCTTCACGTTTCAACACGACCTGCTCTTTGGCAGCCGCGGCTACTTGTTTCTGCCTCGACAGTGGTCATTTGGCATAAATGTTACTCTTGCAAAGTAGTA